CTCCGGTCGCCCAGCGCCTCCCCGCCCACAGCCCCGGCCGCTCCCCGCACGTCTCTCGGCCCCTCTTCTGCCCTCGCGGAGGGTCTGCGCCCCCTGCCCAATGAAACTGGCAGCGATGATCAAGAAGATGTGTCCGAGCGACTCAGAGCTGAGTATCCCGGCCAAGAACTGTTACCGCATGGTCATCCTCGGCTCGTCCAAGGTGGGCAAGACGGCCATCGTGTCGCGCTTCCTCACCGGTCGCTTCGAGGAGACCTACACTCCCACCATCGAGGACTTCCACCGCAAGTTCTACTCCATCCGCGGCGAGGTCTACCAGCTCGACATTCTCGACACGTCCGGCAACCACCCATTTCCCGCCATGCGGCGCCTCTCCATACTCACAGGTAAGCGGGGAGCAGGACCGGTCGGCCGGAGGGAGGAGGGTGACGACTCTCAGTCCAGGGCCGTCCGTCAAAGGCTGGGCTGGCAGCGCGGTCCGTGGGTCTGGCTACTGCACGCTGAGTTTTGCGCTTTGCACTCGGAGAGGTCAGCGTCCCTCGCGCGGCTGCAGGAGCCCCTTTGGCAGTTCCCTCACCTTTTCCCTTTCTGCACCCTCCACAGGAGACGTTTTCATCCTGGTATTCAGCCTGGACAACCGCGACTCTTTCGAGGAGGTGCAAAGGCTCAAGCAGCAGATCCTGGACACCAAATCTTGCCTCAAGAACAAAACCAAGGAGAACGTGGACGTGCCCCTGGTCATCTGCGGTAACAAGGGGGACCGGGACTTCTACCGGGAGGTGGAGCAGCGTGAGATCGACCAACTGGTGGGCGACGACCCCCAGCGCTGCGCCTACTTCGAGATCTCGGCCAAGAAGAACAGCAGCCTGGACCAGATGTTCCGCGCGCTCTTCGCCATGGCCAAGCTACCGAGCGAGATGAGCCCGGACTTACACCGCAAGGTGTCGGTGCAGTACTGCGACGTGCTGCACAAGAAGGCTCTGCGCAACAAGAAGCTGTTGCGGGCAGGCAGCAGTGGCGGCGGCAGCGACCCCGGCGACGCCTTTGGCATCGTGGCGCCCTTCGCGCGCAGACCCAGCGTGCACAGCGACCTCATGTATATCCGTGAGAAGGCCAGCGGCGGCAGCCAGGCCAAGGACAAGGAGCGCTGCGTCATCAGCTAGGAGCCCCGGACCGCCAGCTGTCCAAGCAACCCGAGGAGGACCTTTTTTGTTAAAAAATAAAATCTGACTCCCCGGCCAGCCCCGCGCGCCCCGGGCCCCAAGAGCACGCGTTGTGGTGTCTTCCCTGCCCGGACCAGGCCTGCGCATTGGGAAGGCGCCACCTAACTGAGAAGGGACGGTCATCTGTTCTGGAAGCAAAGAACTGGCTAAGACTGGGACTCTCCCACCTCCGACCTCCTCCACTGGCGTCCCCACTCCCCCCACATGGGGGACAGGGTGCAGTAGGGGGGAAATAATCCTTTTTCTCAGAGACCTGAGGATGGGAGTGGGTGTGGAGAGGGGGTGAAGTTCATCAGCACTGTTAGGCGTCAAGTAACCATCCGACCTCTCTCCGATTCTGTGGGGTCAGGACCAACGGGGCATTATCCCAGCTGTGACTCCACACTGCCAGGAGGCTGGCCAAAGCCTCTGCCCTCTAGAAACTGAGGAGGGTGTGGGTCAGATCATAGCCAAGTGACTTGTTTACATGTGTGTGTGTGAAGTTGCACAAGGAAAAACAAAACACAAAACTTGCACTTTAATAGTTCTGGTGTCAACAGGGACATGAACAAACTTTCCAGCGTTTATACTGTGGGGGGGTCTATAAAGTTATTATTGTTGGTTTTTGGATATAAAATAAAATCATTTAAAATGAACAACTGGGCTTTGTTTTTACAGAGGGCTGTTGGGGGAGGGGGTCCTGCTTCTGTGACACTGGGCTTCACCTCCACAATTAGAAAATAGCACTGCCTCTGAAAATTGCTTCTGGCTTCTGAACTACCTCCAGATGACTGAATTAATACAAAATCAGGACAAATTGAGGGATGTCAGGGTCCTCCCTGAAGATCATGCTACCATTTACTCACTCAGTGTTTAGGCCTCATCACAGGGCCTTGTTTCCTGAGAACAATCTCTTTTGTTCTAGCCAATCGCTAGATTTGAGGTACACCTAGGGTACCTGTTGTTAAGCTCAAAACTCGACTGTTGGATGTTTTACCTAGGCCCAGTTGTTACACACAAGGAAATGGAGCCCAAGAAAAGTGGGCTCCTGCTGGACCTTTGTCCCCTTGCTCCAGCGTTGCCACACAACCAGAGACAATTAAAATCCCATGGCCTTGGGCTACCTACAGTTTCTAGAGGGACTTGCTGCTCCCAGTGGGGCCCCTGTGCTGACTCCCTTTTGGTGGTTAGGGGCACACCTGCTTGTGACTGGTGACCTAATTCTCCCTGCCACGTCTGAGGCCAGCAACACCTGCCAAGCCTATTTATCATCTAAGAAATACAGAGAAGGCCCTTCTGCATGGGTTACTGTAGGGATTAAGTGTGGTGTTTGAAAAGTACTTAGCACAAGCGCCTGCTGCCCCATAATCCAAATAATTGGTGGTTCAAGCGTGTGCTCAGCCCTGAGGGACACTCAACATTGTCCCGGATGAAGGATTTACCCTGCTCTGGACAGAGCCGCTCTCAGCCAGGACTGGTCCTCCTCAAACCACTAACCAGTACCCACCCCTGCAACGAAGGTGGTCCCAGGCCCTCCCAGGCAGATGCTGGGAAATACCACCATTCCCGGTGCAGGAGCCATTCCAGGCTTCACAGGTTTAACTGGTTAGGTGCTGTGGGGAGGGAAGGAGGAGCAAGGGTCTTCCAGTTTCATTTTGTGTCTAAGCCAAGTGAGCACTTTGAACTAATCAAGAGACATCTACTCTGAATTCCTTATAAAACCCTGGATTCCCTGGGTTTGATCCCAGCACAGCGAATATAGACAATGGTATCCTGAGAGCAGAATATAACTTTTTAATTGAACATTTGAAATGTAACAAGTCAAAACTGGAACACAGGGGATTTGCTTCCCCCATCCCTCTAAGGAGTCATTCTCCATTTTAGCCTCACAGACCTGGAAGTTCTAGTTTTTTTTTTTTTTTTTTTTTGAGACAAGTCTTGCTATATAGTTCAAACTGGCCTTGAACTATGTAGCCCAGGTTGGCCTTGAATTCATGGTGATCCTCCTGCGTCAGCCTCCCAAGTAGGATTACAGGTGTGTACCACCACACCCATTGTCTAAAATTTTCTTATGCTTCATGTTTTTATGGCATTTGGTCAAAGCCTTAAAACAGGCCCAACCACTACTGTAAATTTCCAAAAAAATAACTGATTCAGTTAAGTAACAATCTGAAGGTAGAGCTGGTCTAACAAGTGATTATCCACTTCAACTCAGAGCCTACTTTTCTGACCACTGAAAGCTGATATCCTCCCTTCCCACATGCCAGCCATCTTCTGACAGGTGGCTACAGGCTGATGCCACTGGACACCCCAACCAGCACCACTACCAAGGCCATTGGCAGGTTGCTGCTAAGCCCCTCTACTGGGTGGCACAGGCTGTGAGCCCGTTTCTAGAACTAAACAATGCTCAGTCACTTCTCCATTGTCCTTGGGAAGAGGGGAAGGCACTGATCTCACCTCAGTATGACAGTCATGGGCAATGATACAAACACCATTTGGAAGCAACCAGAGGAGCTGGGAGACAGTGAGGATGTAAATGCCTAAGAATGAGATGGTGGCCATGTAGCTTGCAGGTTAAGTTCACACCATCCCATCAGCACTGACCCAGAGCTGTCCCGGACACCTGGCTGATGGAAGACCCAACCGTCACTAGAGCCATGATTCTCTGAGAAAAAGCACACTGGAAATCCTTTGCAGGGCAGCAAGTGCAATGGCTCTTGGGTGAGGAGGCCAGAGAGGAAATAATGTTCTAAGCCAGAGTAATGGGGATTGGAGGGAAGATGCACATACCTACAACCCAAGTGGACCTGCATGGGAATGGGGGCCCTCTTCATCCCTGAAAAGCACTGCATTGTGGGATGGAAGCTATTCTTGGGCCCTGTGATTGCAGGAGACAAAGGAAGCAGGAGCTGGTTGTAAGGACATAGTGTAGGAGGGAGCCTGAAGTCAGTGGCCACCTGCCAGGGATCTGGGCTGATACCCCACAGACACAGTTGTTCACTGGCTCAAATACAAACAGAACCAAACTGTTTCACAGGAAAAAGCCACCCACCCTCTGGCCTTTCAAAACGGTGTTCATTTCTCACAGCCTTCTTTAATTCTGTAAATTCATGCCATATGAGTGCAGACCTAATTTACCTAGTGAATTCTATGCAAATGTTTCATGAAACTGCTGGTAATGGGAACAATATGTACCTGGTACACCCTGATGCTATCGGAGGTGGGAGGAGCCAAGGGCAGGAGACAGGCAGGAGCTGCCTCCTTTCCTACTGTGCTCTTCAGAGCTGCTGCTGGGCCCAGGCACAGCAGATGGCCCCTCCCCAGAGAAACGGTGGAGTCCTCCCCCTCCCCGCCTCAGGAACATTCTTGCAGCAACAGGAACTCAAAATCAGGATGCACAAGACACATGTACATATATGAGCTGGGAGCTGATGCCCACATAGTAAAGACCAAGTTCAGCTAATGAGGCACTACACTGCCCCACTTGGTTGCAGTTCAAAGCTGGGGTTCAAGAAATAGTGCCAAGGAGTGATGAGGAGATGGCAGAGCCACTCGCCTCCTCCTCTCTACTCCTTGGGGATCTCAAACATGCAGAGGCTCTTGTACTTCTGCAGAAGTTCATTCTTAGTCCTGACTTGCTCCCGCAGGCTGTACAGTTGCTGCTGCTGCTGCTCTGGGCTCAGCTGGATACCAGGCATGGTGCTGATGAGCTTGCGCATCTCCTGGAACTTAATTTTGAGGGCGTTCAGGTCCTGGTGGACATCAGGGCTGTCTTTGTCCATGCTGTGGGGCAGAGGGTAGTAATTAGCACCCCCAGTTACACCCAGGCCTGACTTTACTGCTCTGCACCCTCCAGTGTCTTCCAAAAAGCCTTGTGTGCTGTACTGCTCCCTAAATAGCTGTGTACCCCCAGAGCACAGGGACCAGTTCCTCCTTACTTAGTTTCAAAAACACCCCCTCTGCCTAGCATACTTGCAACGTCAGGGACTTAAACTCCACTCCTTAGTGCACTGTCGGCGCCGTGAGGGCAGGGCTGTGCCTGCCTGGTCAGGGGCATGTCCCCATCCCTGGCTAATGTGCAGGACACAGCAGACACTCAAGAAATCTTTGTTGAATGAACAAATAAATGCTTGGCAAAAAATTCACAAATATATATTGAGTGAACAAACAAACCATTATTATCAGGTGACCAATCCCCCCCCAAAAAAACTTATAGAAATAAGCTGGGCGTGGTGGTGCATGTTTGTAATCTCAGCACTCGGAGGCTGAGGCAAGAGGATCATCATGAGTTTGAGGCCAGCCTAGGCTACATAGTGAGTTCAAGGCCAGCCTGGACTACATAGTGAGACCCTGTTTCAAAAAATAAACAGCCTTACGGAAATATTTCATCTAGTTTGTGTCACTCCTAGGCCAGAGACTTTGCCGGCTGGTAAGAACTAATTTTAGCTGAGGTTTTGATGCTTGCTTAAACTGTTGAGACTAGTTTCCATAGAACTGTTCATAAACTTTAAAGCAGTTATATGCGACTAGAATTTTCAGCATGTACAGGACTCTCCTAGCACAGTCACGACAAGTCCTTGCCTTCAGGTCAAGTTCATTTTGAAGTGGGTCACTCACTTCATCTCACAACTATTATTAGCCATACACAGATCAATGATCCCCTGCAACTACCAATTAAAAACAAAACAAGAATGAAAATTCTCACCTAAGATCAATCAAATGGTTCACTGGTTGTGCCTGTACATTTTTTAGGAGTTAGTAAGTGGATGAGCTTTGGAAAACAAGCAATTAAGACTAAAAAATGAAACAGCAATTCATTAAGCTGTTCTAAAAGGAAACTACTGAAGCATAAGAGGGAAAATTGTCAATGATCATTAATATTTTTTAGTAAACATCCATCCTAACTGGGAAATTTCACCCCAGATGGTGCACATTCATGTTTATTATTCATCATTTCTCTGCTTACGCAGACAAAATATCCATCTTCCCTGGTGATCTGTCAGCTACATCTCACACCTTGCATATCAGCCACCAGGGCCCATTCATTCACTGTTATCAATAGCTGTAAGCTCAGAGGCAGTATACAAAGCACCAGTCATTTCTTCCACAGAGTGAATGACCAGCCAAACATTACTTGTCACTGGACGCCCTCAGTTTAGAAACACAATTAATGGTATACCTTAATTCAGTTGCTAGGGTGGTATAACTAGAACTCAGGAGAACTACAAATGGTTTGGAAGGACATCTTTTTGTTCTGTTTTGCAGTGTTGGAGCTGGAATCCAGGACCTTACGTACCCTAGACAAATGCTCTACCACTGAGTTACACCCTCCACCATTTTAAGCTTTTAAATCTCAGCTTAGATCCATAAATCTGGACAGAAACCACTGGAGCTTCTCAAAGCATCATACTTAGATGGCATGTGTGCTAATTACAAATTTAAGTCTCAAGGAAGTTTTGAGGTTGCAGCATTTTAAAGAAAAGTGATTCATATCACACGAGCCTGGAAAGATGTGTTATATACAAACAAAATACACATAAAATTAAAATATGGGAGGAACTTATCCTAATACAGTTGCTGAAGCAAACAGCACCAGGTGAAAACTTAATTCTGAAACCAGTAAGTGGGCCATGTAAAATGCTTATTTTGGAAACCTCCCCAAAGCCCATGGTTGCCCATTCTTAACCTGGTGAACTTTTGGGAAAGGAGACTGAGTCCTCAGATAAGAAATAAAGGGATAAAAAGCTGCCCTAGGGGAAGGGAGGGAGCTGAGCTGAAAGGGGGCCATCTGTGAGCTGCATACCTACCCTTAGTTGGTAGCAGTAAATAGCACAGAAGTCCTGGGGTGAGGAAAACACACTGTTTAGGAACTGGCTTGAACCAAGTAGGAACCTGCTAAGCTGACTGTAAAATACCCAGGCCTAAAGAAAAGGAGCAGGCCCAAGTGCTGAGCGAACAATAGCAGAGTACTCTAAATGGGTCTGCCTTTGTGCTTGATGTTAGTCATCGTCCAACTTTAGAAGGAGAAATAGGATCAAGAAAGATCAAGAAATAGGTCAAGAAAGATGAAAACTGTACAAACAAGGACAAAGTTCGGGCACTTTGGTTCCACATCCTTTTTTATTTTACAGTGGACAAAAATATGACTGTTCTGAGTGGTACGTGGAGCATCCTCCTTCCAGTAGGCAGCGCAGACATATGGGCAAACAGCACAGACTTAGGTGGGCGCATCTAAAAGTCATGCTCCTATTTTCTTTATTCTTCTGTTTTGTTTTTCTTAGCATAGGTGCTTTAGCACAGATACAAACTATCAACAACCAGGCAGTGTGTACCCTGGCAATTTAGGAGCAAAAGTAGCCCAGGAGACTGAAACCAACCTCTTCCCAAACCTAAGCTACTTCTTCTGGCCTCTGGAGGCATTTGACTTGGTTTCACATAGCCTCCTCCAAACTTCTATCCCCCTCACGTCCCTACACTGTCCCAACTGACTCACCCTGGGACTAGTGCTTTCTCCCCTGCTTATAGTGTCTCTCCACCAGGCTAACTCCAGTGGCTTTCATTATTCCAAAATCTTTTGTCTTAAATATTAATATATACCTGAGAGAAAAAATTTAAAAGTGACAGACACCAACCAAGGCTTAGAAGAGGGTAAATCTCTTCAATCCCAGGTCTCAGAGATAATTTTCGTTAACGTATAATATAAATTGTTTGCTTCAAAAACATACAAGATACAAATACACGCATATTTTCATTGTTTTGACAGAAATGTGATCATATGTGGTTTTGATTCTTGCTTTTCTTCATTTAACAATGCACTTTGAAGGTCTATGTTGAGCACATATACAATTACACAGCTAAATTCCTTGTTGGTGGATGTTTGGAATGTTTGTAATTTGTCAGAATGGCAATGAACACTTTGTACTTACATCTTTATCTATTTATGCAAGTATTTTGGTGAGATAATTTCATACCAGTGGGAATTTTGAAGTTTATTTATTTCAATATTGGGAATTGAACCCAGGGCCTCTTGCATGCTAGGAAAGTGCTCTACCACTGACCAACATCCCTAGTCTTAATTTATTTTTTTAAGACAGGGTCTCCTTATGTAGTTCAGGCTGCCCTCAAACTTATGGTGATCCTCCTGCCTCAGACACCTAAATGCTGGGATCACAGATGAGCACTACCACACCTAGCTCCCCAGTCCTTTTTATTTTGAGAGAAAGTTTCTCTGAATAGCCCAGGCTATCCACCATGCCCAGCCAAGGTTATGTAATTTTTAACAGATATTACCAAAATATCCTGAGCTGGACAGTGATATACCCCTATAATCTCAGTTACTCTGGAGACAGAGGCAGGAGGATTGGCAGGTCAAGGCCAGCTTGAAAAAGAAAGTAAGACCCACATCTCACAAAACAACAAAAGGCCTTTGAAAATCTTTACTAACATACAACTGTGTGGCTGTGGACAACAGGCTATCCTCCCACCCTGGACCACACTGGCTCTTTCTTATCTATCAACAGTTTTTCTCTACTCCAGCTTTACAGCACCCAAGGGACCTCTGGAAGAGGGCCTTTGGAATTCATACCCTTGATTTCATCTCCTCATCTGTAATACATTATTTTCAGTGAGGAATGATGAAAGGTTCTGCTGCTAAAAGAAGTGTGAAGATACGCCATTCTACAAAATGTCCCTCCCTGGGTGTGTTCATCTGCTCCTAGTTCTCTGGGTGCTACACCTACCTCCTTAGCCCAGCTTCCTCTTCCCAGCAGTGGCTGAGTCTAGGGAGTCCTCAAATATCCACTTGCAGCTTCCTCAGCTAGAGAGCATGCCCCACCCACCCACTAGGTGAGTTTGAAGGCTGCCTTCCCAGACTCACTCTTGAGTGCTGACCTCATCTCCCAGGGATGAGTCTGTTAAATTCACCTCCCCCGAATCCCTCTAGACTACCCACTGCTATTGCTTTCCTGGATATCCAAGTCTTCCCTTCTGAACCCCTTTGTCCCACCCACCTTTAGAAACTCAAGTCTGAGCAAGTCACTATACTTTTCGAAAATTCTAAATGGTCCTCCAACCCTCAGACAATACTTGCTGGGCAAATTCAAACCAATGCCAACCACTGGTGCCTCCAATCTCCCCAGGCTCAGGGTCCCCCTCTTTCCAGGACCCTGAATATCATTTCTTCCTGGCTGCAGTAACACTCTGACCAGCCAGGCCCTGCTGCTATGGGCCCCACAGGCCTCCTCTGCTGCAGCAGGCCTCAGCTGGTGTGAGGGCCACATGACCTTGTGTGGGCAGAGGCAGGTCAATAACACCCTGTTCCCATGGAGGAGGTCCTGCTGACCTCCTGCACTAGGTGGGTGCGCTGCAGCAACCTAGCCAGGCAGCAGGGACAGCACGGTGTGCTCACTTGAATTCCCTCTGTGGGGTCAAGGATGGTTCCCTTGTGTCCACCTAGCAACCTCAGCCATTTGAAGAAGAAAAAAATTTAATTAAAAAGAGGTCATAAAAGTACCCTACTGACAGAAGACTCAACTGGGTGGGCGGAAAGCAGCAGGCAGCAGGAAATGCACTTCAGAATTCTTTGCCTGGGACACTTAGTTCCAGATTTCAGATTTGCTAGGTTTGAAGGGGAAAAAAGTCATAGCTTTCCCAGGTCTCACAGACCTCCCTGCATTCTCTTTATTAAGTTATATTCTTTTATGACTGTAGCTTCCATATATAACAAGAAAGGTCATGAAGAGTTGGGATTTATAATACTTCTTATAGGGATAAAATGAGATTTT